CATTTTGTTGTATGGAAAAGTATCTCAATGTTTCATGCCAGAAAACAGTGATAATTATTACAACTAAAGAAAGAAAGTATATATTTAAGCAAACTGATATTTAAGTATAAAGATTGTAAATTGTTCTGAGTTTGTAAGAATTTAAAGGCCCTGCTCCCGTAAGCCTGTTCTGAGCAGTCTACTAAAGAATTGAGACAATCCAGGTGACTAGAGAGGTGCCAGCTGACATGCAACATGTATTTGTTTGCTTGGTTAATTACATTGGAAGAGGAGCATGTATAATGATTATACTTTCTAACAGCATAACTGCAACTGTCAGAAATGGAAATGAGGAAACACGAGAAGTTTAATAAATTGTTTGCTTTATAGATATATTAACTAGATGAAATACTATTATTTAAAGTTAGTGCAAACCTGTTGTGCAACGGCTGCACATAGCAACCTCTGTAGTAGTGCATTCAGCCTACTTGTATGAGTTGCCTCAAGGAACCTTCAGATTTTGATCTCAATGCTGTTCCCCATCTAGGTTCTAGACAGGGATCCAGGGTACCATTGGAAAGTTCTAAGCTATAAATAAGTAGCCAACATTCCAATTAGCTAGGTCATCATGTTTACCTGTGTAGAGCCAGGTTCAAGTTTCCTGGCCACTCGAACATCCATACCTTAAAGAAGTGGGGCTTCACCAAGTTTAATGAATTTGATTAATTAATAATGGTGGCTGAGAAGTGGCTCATTGCTGGTATCCATGAGATCAAATATTTTCCCAGTTCTTGTCCTCTAACTGGTAAGGTCTTGCACTCCTGAGGGCTTCCACTTTGCCAGAGTTCCACACACCACAAGTAATGTTCACTAATAAATATCATATCCAGTCTGCTTTAAAAAAGTATGTGTATGTTCACAATACTTGGGAGGCAGACAGGTGGATCTCTGTGAGTTCAAGACCAGCCTGGTCTACAGATCAAGATCCAGGACAACCAGGGCTACACAGAGAAACCCTGTCTGAAAAACAAGCAAACAAACAAACAAAACCCAGTTTCCTCCCCCCCCCCCCAAAAAAAAAGTGTGTGTGAAGGTATGGAGAAGGAGGTGGAGAGGATTGTAATAAGAATATTTGAACGGCTATCTTCACAATTTCTCATACTACAGACTAGACATATTCATGTATATAACTTTTTAAAAAAGGAGTAAAGGGATGAGTGTTCACATTTCATATTTATATACAGATATTTGCTAAGTATAGCTGTTAGAATAAAACAATTTTTAAACAAAAAATGGTGCCTGGAGATTTAAACTTGGTTGGTAGAGTGCTCACAACTGGCTCACGGTAGTCAAGAACCCTAGTTCCAGAGATCTGATGCGCTCTTTGACCTCCATGGGTGCCTGCATATGTGTGGTGTACATACATACACGCAAGCATACATGTATACATTTAAAATAAGAAATAAGTGCCGGGAAGTGACCCTGCTCAGAAACATGTGACGCCAGGGGCCTGCTCACCAGATCTGAACTCTGCAGTGAGATCCAGCGCACCCGGACACTGCCGAGGTGACGGTAACCCGGTAACAGTGTCATCTCCATCCACGACAAGAGGACAGACATCAGAGTTTTGGAACTGTTTGCATCTACCAGAAGAGAACCTTGGTCCCATACCCACCAGGAGAGGAAGAGACTCCTGCTACACCCACCAGAAGAAAGAATTCAACAACAGAAAACCAAATATGACACCACCGGAGATTAGGAACCATACACCAGCAAGAACTGAACATCACAATGCAGATGAAGCAGAAGAGAATGACCTTAAAAACATCTTTATGAAAATGATAGAGGACTTCAAAGAGGACATGAGAAAATCCCTTTAAGAAATGGAAGAAAAAACAAACCAAAAAATACAAGATATCAACAAATCTCTCAAGGAAACAGTTCAAGACCTAAAAACTGAAATAGAGTCAATAAAACACAATCTGAGGGAATGCTGGAAATAGAAAAGCTGGGTAAATGATCAGGAACTACAGCTGTAAGCATAACCAACAGAGTACAAGAGATGAAAGAGAGAATCTCAATAGTTGAAGATACACTAGGAGAAATAGACTCATCAACCAAAGAAAATCTTAAGTCCAACAAATCCTTAACACAAAATATCCAGGAAATATGGGATACCGTGAAAAGACCAAACCTAAGAATAGTAGGTATAGAAGAAGGTGAAGAAATCCAACTCAAAGGTGCAGAATATATATTCAACAAAATCATAGAAGAAAACTTTCCCAGCCTAAAGAAAGACATGCCAATGAAAATACAAGAAGCCTACAGAACACCAAATAGACTGAACCAAAAAAAAAAGGTCTCCTCACCACATAATAATAAAACACCAAATATACAGAATTAAGAGCAGCAAAGGAAAAAGGTCAAGTAACATAAAGGCAAATCTATCAGAATTATACCTGACTTTTCCATGGAAACTCTGAAAGCCGGAAGGTCCTGGATAGATATTCTACCTACACTAA